ATTAGCATATCAGCTGAACGAAGAGGCAGAGCGGACAAAAAGACCAATCAGGAGATTAAGTAAGGTGATGTACGGTAGCACATGCGCAGATATGCAGGTAGACGTAATGGGGAGTGTCTGAGTCGTATAAAGCATGTTGTCGGTGTAAGATCAGTATTTCTGGCAAAGAGATTGCACGCCGTATAGCAGTTTAAAATCACACCGAATTGCTGCCTCAGCGAGAAATGGCGAATAATCAATCTGTTAGACGACATCTAGATGCTTCTACCCGAGGTCGAATCATTGGGAAGTTCGAGGAAGGCCGCAGTGGGACAAGTGTGGCTGCAGAGTTCGGAATTGCTCACAGCATCGTTTCACGACTTTGGAGACAATTTCAAACTACAGGAACAACTATCCGGGGTTTAATAGTGGTCGTCCACGAGGAACCACACCCGCAAATGACCGGTATATTGCCTTACAGGCCAGAAGAAACAGGCGGCAAACAGCGGGTGAAATCGCTAGACATACGACACAGGCGACTGGACGACCGATATCGCGTTTTACCGTGGCCAGAAGACTGCACGGTGGTGGTCTGTTTGCACGACGCCCTGTGCGGTGTGTACCTCTAACGCCTGCCCATCGGAGAAGGCGTTCTCTGTGGTGCCGGGAACACCGGAATTGGAGAGACAATGAATGGGGACGAGTACTCTTTACAGATGAGAGCAGATTCAGTCTGAGTAGCGATTCTCATCGCATACTCATCTGGAGAGAACGGGAAGCCGCAATCATCCCTCGAACATCATTGAAAGGGACAGGTATGGAGGTGGCGGTGTTCTCGTTTGGGGAGGCATCATGCTTGGTAGTCGTACAGACCTTCACATCTTCGACGCAGGTTCAGTCAACGTGACCCGTTATAGTAACGAGATTCTTCTTCCATATGTGCGTCTTTTTAGAGGCGCTATGGGTCCGCAGTTCCTGTTCATGGACGACAATGCAGCATGTCATCGCACAGTAGCTGCCGAACAGCTCTTAGAGAGTGAGGATATTGAACGTATGGATTGGCCGGCACGATCTCCGGATCTCAATCCCATCGAGCATGTATGGGATTTTCTAGGCAGACGCTTGGCAGCTCGTACCTTACCACCAGTAATGATTCCGGAGCTTCGCTGCAAGACGAATGGGCAGCAATGTCTCAACAACTCATTGACATCCCTCATTCTCAGCATGGGCAGACGCTGTGAAACCTGCCTAGCAGTCAGGGAAGATCATATCCCCTATTAAAGACCGGATGTTTCTTGCTGGACACCCATCACAGGGATATTTCGGCCTTCAGTCGCATTGCGCTCCATGCTACTTTTTCAATAAAGCTTCTTTTTATCCCTCCGATTTCTCTTTTAGTAAGTGTTGCTTACATTACTCATGTCCTTACGTATTGGGGATCTTACGGTATTAAATGTGTTGATTTGGAAAGCTTTTGTACAAAGTTATATTGAAAAAAACCGTCTCGTCCTTAATTTTTGCACACCAGTGTAATTATATGGCGGAATAATGATAACAGACAAGGTTTTCATAGTGTACACAAACCATAATAGCACAAATGGTACAGATTAAATATTAAATGTGAAAGTGGAGCCTGCTCTTAACCTGTGATTAAAACTGGGAGGGGAGAAGAAAATTGTGAACGTAATTGCAAGTTGGAAATATTTGAAAGAGGAAAAAAGGTTACGGCTGCATTTGTAATTCGATTGTTCTTCATCGTATCTAGTGTTTTAAGTTTCCTCATATGTTAACTTATTCCATTTCACGTCTTCACATGATGCTACTTTCCAATTCCAAAAACAAGGATGCTACTTGTAAGCAAGCCACATCGGATGATACTTCTGCCAGTTGCGCATTTATCTCTTGTGCTCAGTATGAACAATCCATCAGATCAGTTGTGATTCTTCCATCAAATAATAGCTTCAAATAACTAGGTTGGAATCTATTTTGAAATTTCATTGACTTTCAGTTATCCTATATAATTAATCCTATAATTTTGTCACCTTTTTCCTAATCCACTGCAACAACTTAGAATCATGAAATTTAATTTGGCATACTTATGTTTTATGAGATGCACTTTTATTTGAATTTTACTTGGTTAGTAAGCTTCGTTTTCACTCTGGACATCTTTATAAGAAAGACACGCGTCCTTTTCTTCCCCCATTAAACTATTGCTGAAACCAAAATGTTGGTAGTTTTGGTGTCTTAAACTGTAGCTATCCATGAACTCGTTAACATGTTTCTCAGAAAAGTGTTTGCATGTAACATGGAAGGTATGCTTACTAAAGTGTTGGTCATATGGATTTATTGCTACCTGGGTGGAAGATATCTATTTTCTGTTCTATATCTATCGGTGCATATGGCCAACTGTTCTGCTATAAATGACTAAATAGCATAGAAATATTTGGTGAAGTGTGAAACCATATATTCACAAGGCTGTTGCTGCAGACTTACCTGTTGTATAGTTTAATATTTATAGGCAGTCTCTGATACCAGTATCGATGTTTCTGCTATAACAATTATGTTGGTAGTATTTGGAGTTCGGTTTGATTTGGTTTATTTAGTTATGGCAAAGCACTCGATTGCTAGGCCTAATGGAAGGATTGCCTTCATAGACGACTTTCTAAGAGAAGATGAACTTTAGATACAAGAACCCCTTATCTTGATAATATTAGATGCATTAGTCTTTTGCGAACTTTGGGAAAATGTCTTGAAACTCTCTTCATTAACATAATAAATTGGCATTTGAGGCAGAAATGTTTTTATAATGATTCTCAGTTCGGATTTACTCCTCGGAAGTCTGCTGAAGATGCCATTATTCGCCTTTGTAATATCTTGCAATGTGGAAAGAAAACGAAGTATACTACAGTTCTTATTTTCCTGGATTTCAAAGGAGCTTTTGATAATGCTTGGTGGCCCTATTTTAAAAATTCTAAAAGATGCTGGTATACCACTTAATATCTATAACCTTCTTAAAAGCTTCTTGAACGAGAGGACTGCTGAGCTTTCAACTTGGGAACGAAGCTAAGGTTTATTCTCTAGAAAAAGGATATTCTCAAGGCTCTGTGTCTGGACCTACTCTTTGAAACACAATAATAAATGTTCTTTTAAGTCATCTCGACTATAGCTGAAAGCAAAATGTTAAAATTGTTGTTTAAAAATTGTATTTGCAGACGACTTACTTTTAATTTTCCAATGAAAGATTTTGAATAATATTCTTTTGAGAGCACAAGAAGTTCTAGACTCTATCTCCAGTTGGGCGAGTTCTCATAAACTCACTTTCAATTCTTCAAAAAGTAAAGCTATGCTTGTTCCCAGAACGTTTGATGAACAAAATATTGCTACTTTGATGCTCGATAATTCTCCGTTGGAATTTGTAGAAAATGTTAAGTATCTTGGTGTCATTCTTGACCAAAAATTAACATGGAAAAAGCACATTGAATTCCTTTCTGCTAAATGTGAAAAAATTATTAATCGCTTTCACCGAATCGCCAAAAATACTTTTGGAGTACTTACGATGTTAAAAAACTGATGTATAAGCAGTGTATTGTACCTTTCATTTCGTACGGCTGTCGTGCTTGAGGACATGTTCTTGTCAAGAAGGTTAACAAAAGAAATTTAAGAAAAATTCAACGCAGAATTCTTCTTCGTATTATTAGTGGTTATAGAAACTTAAGCTATGAGGCTACTTTTGTTCTTGCAGGAGTTCCGCCTATTGATTTTGAAATTGCATATAAAAATAATATTTTCGAGTCATTGGCAACTGATACTTTTTAAGACTGTATTAATGGAATTGTCCCCTTCACTGATCTTCCTCAGCCCGCTACTTTAGAACCCATAAATTTCCGCAATTATAAAGAGACTGCTGCAATGAGTTTTCATATGGTTTTCTTTACAGATGGCAGCAAGATGAACAACAAGGTTGGCCTTGCATTTGTTCTTTTTGAAGGCCATTCCGAGGTTTGTTTTTTTAAACACCGTATACGGAATGAATGCACAGTTTTTCAAGCAGAACTTCTGTGCATTTATCTTGACGTTAAATGGATCAATGATAATGGGACAACATCCTCAAGGTACCTTATTTGTTCTGATTCTCTTTCTTCTCTTCCAACTTTTGAACAGTATTACCAGCTGTGACAAATTAGTTATCGAAAACTTTATAGTAACTGATCAGTTCACTTAGAAATAGAGGAAATTGATATCCGGTTTGCTTTATGTGCGTGGTCATCACGGTTTCTCTGGAAATGAAAGAGCTGATTTCTTACCTAAAGATGCCTTAAATTTACCCATTGATATCAACATTAGCATTCCAAAGAGCTATTGGAGGTCCTTTCATTATAAGAAGCTTTTAGCTATGTGAAATGAGGAATATATTTCACCTTGTAATGCTGAGGTCACCTCAAAGTTCTTTCCTTCCATTTACCATAGACTGCATTCCGAGTCTTTCCTCTCTATAAATTTTAAAGTGTCTCAGTTTTTAATCTGGTTACGGTAAATTTGCAAGTTACCTGTTTCGTTTTAATCTAAGATCAAAAAATTTATATGAATATTCAAAAAGAGTGCCTCAGGATGTGGAACATTTGATTTTCTTATGCCCTACATTTGATGGCTTTAGATTATGTTTACAGAAACGATTTGAAAATGTTCGGAGTGACTTGGCCAGTGAACTTATCTGTTTTCGTGAAGTCCAGACTGCTGTTCTCTACTTTTGTTCGTTTTATTTATGCATGTAACTTTTAATGTTTCAGTTAATGTACTCCTGTAAATCCCGTGTTGTATATATGTAGTGCACGAGGAGTCTATGTTTTCAAAGAAAAAAAATACTTAGCGTACAGAATACAAGATGGAATCCTGCCCAATGGTAAAACATAAAGCAGAGTCAGTTCAAGTATCGAATTAAAATTAGTCCGAAAATATGGAGTTTTAATGGAATCGCAATGGAAATCTCACAGAAGTGAAAAAGCTATGCCTGTTATATTTACCTGAGTCTCTGAGAGCTTCAGTGCTTTGGCTAACTGTAACCTTTTGGAGACAGATAAGTACTTGTTTTTTTCGAACTCAGCTTCTAAGGCCTTTATTTGGCCAGACGTAAAAGCTGTTCTCGGCCGTTTCCGCCGATCTTCGGATGTGTTTTCACCTGAAAAAAAAAAACAAAATTTACACATGTGATTTGGCGAACAAATCGCATCAAATATTGGTGAGTAATGAAAAATGTTGAATAAAATGCGCATAATGCATAAAATGGAAATTGCAATTTGAAGGCTTGAAATTCCAGTTTAATAACTTCGAAGCAGAACTTTTACGGAATTATCGAAACCCCTTAAGTGGTGTAAATGTGCCCTACGTCGTATAGAAGATTAGCATAATCATCTGGCAAATGGAAGATCAATGGTTCGAATCCCGACTAAAGCCACAAGTTCCTTGATATTAAAGCCACAAGTTCCTGGTTTCAACAAAGCCACAAGTTCCTGGTTTTAGAAAAACATAGTAGTGTCTGCAAGCTTACCATCCACAGCTTCAAAAAATTATAAAACGTAAAATTACAAAAATGAAGAATAAAAAAGATTATCTTTCGGTTACGAATTACGTGGCATTAAAAACATCTTTTAGAAATTACGACAACAAGCGAATATTCGTAAAAAAATCATCATTTGGATGTGTTATAAATTAAATGCTTTTTAACTTATATCAATTATATTCATTGTTATGTTTACAGAATATTGATTAAATTACGTTTACTACGTTTAGTGTATTTGAACCGTTCAGTCTGTTAATTGAATTTATGTCGTACTTCTTATTCAAATTAGAGTGTCGCTTAAATTTAAAGCGAATGCTTTAGCTTCTTATTTCTATATAAATTAGGTAGCTTATGTTTTTATTAATGTCTCTTTGAAATAAAAGAAAATGTTTCTTTTTTTAACACATTTTAAAATCATTTTTATATTTTTGCTATTTTTTTCAATTTGAAATTCTATATCGGGCTTCGAGGAGGGTTATTTTTTATTATTTTTCCCAATTTTAAAATCCTACTGCTTCTAAGATTCGAAGTAATACCGTAGATTGGTTGAACTTGAAAGCTAAATTAAAGATTTTTTTCCTTTTCCGAATGGCAACAAACTTAAACCCGGCTATGCGAAAGAGTATACCTGAAGATTGTGTGTTATATTTGAAGCACTGGCATCACTTGGGAAGTGACACTTTTAGACTTTTTTTTTTTTATTATTTATTTATTTATTCAGCAGTTCTGCCAAGCCAATGTTTTTCACGAAGGCGAGGATAATTCACTGCCAGGGAGGAGACGTTAGACACCTTCGTGGTGTAGTGGTTCTGCAAGCTGCGCCGGTATTCTAGAGGTCTATGGTTCGATTCCCGGTGAAGGCGGTTGCTAATTTTTCATCTCTCTAGCTTCCAAAAGAATCCTAATGTCTCTACAAGTTAATAAGAACATTAAAATTTCAAAAAGAGCTTCAGTTAATTTTGTATAAAAAAAATCTAAGGCTCGAAACATAATAATCATTTAATAGTTTAATAATTTAATAATAATTTGGCCTAAAGCAATCAAAACTTCTTCTAAAAGTGAGGCAGCCTAATAAAAATAACAAAAAGAAATTAAATTTCATTAAAATGCATTCATGTTAGATTAATTTCCAAAGAGATAGAATACATATCACTATTAAATGCTATTAATATTCATCTATAAAATTACGATACTTTTTTTTTTTACTCTAAACATTAGATGCCCATCCCTTTGAAACTTGCCGTAATTTTTTACTGTCATCGGCATTCACTTATAGCAAGTTTCCCGTGTTCAACATTGACCTTTTAAGTCTACTATATTGGTGTTATGAAATGACACCAATATAGTAGACTACATACATTGATAATCACATGTCACTATCAATGTGTATTTCCTTAAAAAAATGACAGGATTGCTTCTAAAATTAAAAATAAGACAGAGTTAAAAATAAAAAATTAAAATTACATTAAATAGTCTTATAAAATAAAAAATATGGTGAAACTTTTTGTTTCTGAACGGTCAAGTTTTATTTGTGAATTGAGAAGGAAATACGTGTCAAGTAAATTTCGTTTACGTCACGGACACTTCTGGAATGTTCTAGAAGCTATTTATTTTAATAGCATAGAAATTGGGCTTTTTTTCCCCTTTTTCTTAGTTAAAGTAGCAATTTATCTGTAGTCTGACCTGACTGTGTACTATAGTCAGAAATGCCAAAGGAGTAGTTTTGTATTAGCAGTGCCTCAGCCTAAAATTCTAAGTAAAATTTAAAGCGCAGTAGAAAAGAAAGACTAGTTCAGATGAGAAAGTCATGTTTATAAAAGCTGCAGAAGAGAAAGCTGCAAAATGCTTAAGGTTAACACTAAATTGCAACTTGTACAAAAGTTGTTTCCTATATAAAATCAGTGGTAAAGGCGATGGATTCAGAATCTTAAAACAGATCTTGCTCCTCCTCAAGTAGGTAACTTGGCATCATTTGAAAACTATGGTTAAATGGAGATTGCTGCTAAGGGTTATAAAGCACCAGAAATTGCTTCTGATTTTTATAACAATTGAGTTTTAAGAATAATTTGTGAGGTCTGCCTTCATTCACGAGTATTCTACATACAAGTTAATTTGTTTGAAAATGTCTGAGCATTTTAAGACTAAAGCAAAAGAACAGAGGTAAGGATACTTGTTTTAATAAATATTTTGAACATGACAATGCGACAAGGTTTTTGAAGCTTCATGACAAAACAGCTGAAATTAAAATGAAGCATATTGGCCAGTAGTCCACTTACATAAATCAGTCAAGAGTATTACATTAGTAGCATTAGGTGTGACGTCTTGAAATCTAAAAGTGTAATTTCAGGTTTTCACCAAACTGAAAGTTTTCCATTTGACAGAAGCTCTTGTCCAACAAGAGTATCGTACGTATGAAGTCAAGGAAGTACAAAATTAAAATGCTGTGTACATCGTAGCTTATATTTTCTTTCTGAAGAGAATGATGCTCTTGTCGAAGTCACTAAATCAGAACTCTTACCTGGTCCTTTACATGAGCAATAATAAAATATTAACTAGCATATGAATAACAAGACACAGTATATTTCATTTCGATCACTCTTGTTAAATTAAGATAAAATGAATAGAAATTCCTCAGATAAAACTAAAGAAGTTAGAGAGATAAAAGCATATTAAGTCGAAAGAATATTTCAACATAATCAAAGGAAATCAAATCGCAGAAAGAAAGAAAGACTAAAAAAGAAAGGCCGTTTAAGAATAAATAATAATGAATCAATCAACGACTCTCACGTCGGAAGTATAAACAGAAACTTTATTTCTATATCGCTAACTTTTCCGAACACTATTTCCTTAGAAACATAATTTCAAAATGTATTGAAACTGAAATAATGCAAAATGATTTGAGCTACAAAACATTACGCCACAAATGTCGAAAAATACTAGAATTTAAACGAAAAGTTTTCGAAACAATATTATTTAACTTGTTAAATCCAAGTACTTCAATACAGTGATAAAAATTTCACCCTTATCATTGAAGCCCTTTGTTTTTCTGAGAACTTCGTCCTCTTAGGCACCCATTAAATTCAAAATTTGTCATTATTACCCATGCCATGGGGCGTATTCGAATGTAGGATCTGTTCAGTTGGTTATTCTATTTTGCTTCATTTTTTTAAACAAATTTTCCCGAATTTTCGACAGGTTTAACATCCAAGCTATTTTCTGGGCACATTTCAACACTTTGATATTATCTTTCAAAAATAGTCCCTTTAAATCCGTAATTTATTCACGTCAAGCGGTTTAATTCATTTGTAACTACTGTCAGTTTTCATTATTTTAATCCCAATAAATCTTGAAACAACGTTCCTCGGGATGTCGTATTCGGAAAAGTTAGCATTCAAAGGATTTTTTGGTTCATACTTCTGCCTTGTGAATAACTTTTATTTTTTATAAACTAGTTACTTTCTTATTTTAGCTAAAAAATTAGAAATATTTTTACTTTTTGACATGGTACTCTATTAGCATGAAAAGGCAATTTTTTTCAGATAAGTCATATTTTTAAAAACTGTTATATTATTCTTGCCTCAGAGTTCTGCAGTATGTAGCTTCCCTAGATATTCACTATTCATTACATGCCAAATCCTTATTGAAGTATGTATATTTTACAGTATTCTATTCGCTGTACCTTAAGGAAGCGTTCACTTGTACACACACACACACACAAACACTTGTAGCCACCTACAAATGCATTGTGTGGTATTTTCATTAACACGAACATTTCATCGCTAAAACATGTCTAAAGGTAATTAATCACATTTCCCTGTTTTTTGCTAAGGAAATATAAAGGCAGCTTGAAAAACAAGATTTTGTATAAACTCAAAATAAGAGCAACAAAACGAAATTTAACAATATTCATTCATGTGGAAGGAAATTTTCAATGAATGGTTCACACAATCAACTGCATTCTGCAAATCCCGATTTTTTACGCTATTCAAGAGCCTTAATTTGTTGTGCAGGTTAGTTTCAGATTTTTTCTTAAGTATGAAAATTTACAAGGCATTATTATACAAAGTTTTGTTCCTTGTTTCAGTTGATATTTCTCAGCTCATAGAAGTTGTTTTTCTGTTTAGTGAGCATATTTTTTCCAGTTTTCTTTGTATCCGTTGAGATAATTTCATTTTCCTGTCTTATTTTTGCTATCCCAGTATGAGAATAATTGACATTCTCGAATAAACTTAATGAATGTGGCTAGCAAATCTTTTATTAATACTGAATGTTTCAGCAGTTTTTTTTTTTTTTTTTTTTTTTTTTTTTTCCTCATTATACTAATTTTCACTTAAGAGAGTTCAAACAACTGAAAATTTTGCTAGGTTAAAAAGTCTTTTGTTTTTATTCCATCGAAAAATAAGACCTAGAAATAAATAATGATTAAATTAACTTAAAAGTTAATCAGAATAATAACTCAGGAAAAAAAACCATCGGAATTCCTAACTTGCATAATAAACATTTAAAAAGGATAAATAGTATTACTTAGCATGTTACATTCAAGAATATTAGAGGTGCTTTTTTGATTATTGTAACTAATATATTTATATAAATATTAATATAAAAATATATTATAACTA